GTATTTCAACAAAGGCTTCAATTAATACAAGATTTATGTAAAGTTAATAGTTGTCCTGTATACTGTACAGATTCTGCTACCTCAGCTGTGGATGTGTGCATCTCTTTTATAGCTAACCTATACCTCATGGCTGTTTCTTTGGTTAGGGCTCCAATTGAATGACCTTAAAAGTTTCAATATTCTGTTTCTTTATATCTAAAGTTGTTTCATACTTTCCGTTTTTCAACTATGGGCTTGTCAACATTCCATAAAATATTTAAACCTTGTCATGTTGTTTTACAGTCTAATATTGCTTCATATTTCTTCACAGATTCCAATTCCACCAATCCCATGGTTTGTCTGCTCTGTTTATTGATCATCATGTTGCTGTTTGTTCACACATGTTCTTTGAAAATGATCCAAGTCCTTCACAGAAAGACTGGACTCATCCTGAGATTAAACAGTATTAAACCAAGTGAACTATTTACTCACAAAGTAAAAGACTTTGGAATGCAGCTGATTGCACTACGTTTTATTTCAGGGTATCTGAGTGAAAATGGCTGAATGCATACAGAAGTTTGGAAATAATTTTGAAAGCCTTTCAATTCACAGTTGCACAAAATTTAATTTGAACTGTATGTAAAAAAGTTCACGGTAGTTTGAAAACTTTTGACAACCAGTACCGGTATATACAACAGATGAGCTGAGAAAAACACTTTATGTTGAAAAGGATTTTTATTTTTTACAGCAAAGCTACAATAAAGAGGGAATGTGTTAATAGTGTTTAAGATATTTTTTATACATTTGTCTTCAGAAATCTTACAGCATTTCATGTAAATCCAACAAGCGGACACATCCTTGGGTTGATCTTTTCACATAGTAATAAATACAGTGCAATAAGGCAATGTTTCTATTTACAACTCATAGAAAACTGTACAAGAGAAGCAACAAGAGTGCTTTTAAATCCAAACTGTTTATATGATGTAAGATAAATGAATTTTTACCACAGCAAATATAAAAATACATACTAGTGCAGAGAAAAACCCCTTCTTCAGCTTCCCTTTTATATACACGTGTATGAATCCATCTTTTTAGGAATGTGCATGCTATAATTATGGGAGGCCTTTCCATACAATAGCTACTTTCTTTTTTTCCACAACACACATCTCAAATGAGAGTCAGATAAAACAAAGGAGGAAAATAAGAGAGCCTTTTTATTATTGTTTTAAATGTGTGCCCAGCATCTGTTAACCTCTCTCACAGAAAAAAAAAACTTCATCAAAGATACTATAAGTCAGACATTTGCCCAAAAACACAGAGTATAGTAGAAAAGATGCAGATGGCAATGTATTCAAATGAAAATATAGACATACTTTCAATTATAGCAAACATTCATCCCTAACATCTGACTGGCTCCAATTACATGAATCTGGGTATATGTTTTTAAAATGTAATCCTACTTACAGACCCCCCTGATGACAATACTTAAAACTGAGGAACAACAGTTATTTATGTCTGGATCTAGCAGGAAATAAAAAGCTTAAGCAGAACTAAACATGTCAAACAAGGAGTCAGTAGAGAGGAGCGCTGCCGTCCCTGTCTATCATTTAAAACATTTGTTCAGGTTTTCCAGAAGGCTGATGGGAGCGTTGCTACCTGTGGAGAAGATGTCTTCATGATAGTGAACCACTGCGTGGAACTGACATGTTTTAAATAAAGAGGGTCTGCAGGATCCAATGAATAAAAGGCTGTTATGGTAGAAGTTTTTGTCAGATGTTTGTTGTGAACAGTAGTATTGTTCCCTTGCCCAGTCCAGCTGTTTGCATAGAACAAGAATAATTCCTGCTGCAACATCTCTGTATGCACGGTTATATGTAAGATCTTTGTCTAGTTAGCTTCTTTTTCATCTTTTTCAATGTTAAAGTTCTACCTACATTAGGTTTATGATCCAGCAGCATGAAATATGAGTTGTTATCATTTCTTTCCCAGTGCTTTGATCAGGCAGGATTCCAATCTGAACAAAAATGAAGCAAATAAAAAAATACACTAAAGGCCCTTATGATCTGAGTTTTCAGTCTCCCAACATTACATCTTAAAAGACTCCCAGTAATACGTCCGTCTGGAAACAACCAGCTCTACTGTGTTTTTTGGGGCCCTCAGCTGAACTCTTTTAAACAGCAAAATGAAATACAGATTTTAGAGAGTGTTTGGTTTTCTGATGGTTTTATGTGACAAGTTTTAATGAACGATTTAGTCCTTTTTTTTTATAAGTGAAAAAGCCATACCTAATCTGATCTCAGTGTTGACCAGGGTCTGCAGAATTTTCCGGAAGTCCTTTTTAAAATCCCAAATGTTGTACTTGATTTTCCTGAATTGTAATTCAAAGATTCCCACAAGCAGAACAATACATTATTTAAAACACAATGCAATGGACAGAAAAAGGATTTCTTATGGATTTTACCCAAAAAATATTTGTATGAAAGTGGCAACTATACTCCCAAAATACATCCCCCCAAAAAAAACGAAACGAAAAAAAGCTGTTTCTATATATAAAGAGGGCCTACTGTTTCTAATAGTCCAGGATTTTTTAACTGAGCCTCTGTCAATTTGTCACTTCAAAAGAAACTCCTCAGTATATTGCCAAAAGTTTTCACTCAACTCCCATAAAAACTTCAGTAAAACTCTGTTTCAAAACTTAGGGTTATTTCTGATGATGATCCACCATCAGCAGCTATAACAGCTTCAAATCTACTGGGAAAGCTGTCAGCAAGGTTTGTGTTTTTTGGGAATTTCTGACATTTCTTTCTGACATTTTAGGAGTCATAAACAGACATTAGACAGGAAAGCCTGGCTCTCAGTCTCCGCTCTTATTTATCCCAGAGGTGTTGAGGTTTGCTCTTTGTGCAGGCCAGTAAACCTCATCCACACTAGGTTCACTTATCTATATCTTTATGGACCTTGTTCTTCTGACCGTGTCATGCTGGAGGAGGATAGGACCATTGTAGGTACAAGATCTACTCAGGTGGTCAGATCAGGTACCTACACCGTCTCCAAACTGTTTCAGCAAAGCTAGATAAAGGACTTGTCCAAAATCTCTCTGGATGACTAAGAATTCAGATCTGTTCACTGGAACTGATGGACCAAGCGTCGCTACTGAAAAGCAACCCCACAGCATAACCTTCAAAACCCAGATTGGTCCATCAGATTGTCAGATGGAAAGGGGCAGTTTACTCCTGAGAACATGTCTCCTTTGCTTTAGAGTCCAGTGGAGGCATTGCTTCTGACAATTTGCATTCCACTTAGTGATATATGCTTGGATGCATCTACTCGGCTATTGAAAACCATACCATGAAGCTCTTTACGCACTTTGTTGATTGAAAGGCTACACAAGTTTACAGGTCTGTAATATTTGACTCTGCAGAAAGTTGCCAACCTCTGTGCTCTATGGACATCAGCATCCTTCACCTGTGTTCTATCGGTTTGTGTGGTCTTTTATTTTTGTGGCTGAGTTTATTTCATTCTCAATTGCCCCCACTTTGTTATACCACTGTAAGATGATCGTGAATAATTTAGGGAGGGTATTTGAAGACAATGGGCTGCACAGTGCGGCAGTGTGTAGGACACACTGATTCTCAGTTCGATTCCTTACTTAATGGATATTGGATGTTCTGCCCGTGCATTTGTAGGTTCTTTCCGGGTACTCCATCTTCCTCCCACAGCCCAAAAACATGACTGTTAGGTTAACTGGCCTCTCTAAACCGTCCTTAGGTGTGAGTGTGTGTGTGTGCATGGTTGTGTGTCTTTGTGTGTCTCTGTGTTGCCATGTGACAGACTGGCGACCTATCCAAGGTGTACCCCGCCTCTCGCCCATTGACTGCCGGAGATAGGCACTGGCCCCACCGTGACCCTGATGGAATAAGAGGGAGCAGATGGATGGACGGGATTTGAAGACAAGCCTTACTGCCCAGATGGCATCCTATCAGGGTATCACAATCAGTTCACTGGGCTCCTAATCCATTCATTCATTAAGGTTTATAGAAGTATTTTCGATGCCTATGTACCATGTTTTTATGTACCCATGGCTATAAAAATTATTGGGAACACTGATTTCAATTATTTTAATCAAAGAGCAAATACTTTTGGCAATAAAATTCATCATACTGCTGTAAGTTTGTAGAAAAGAAAAAAAATCTGAAGACTGAAAAGACAGGAGTCCAAAAGGAATCTCTGCCATAGCTAATTTAGACAACTTAGCTTTAGCTGGATCTTTTTTAAATGTCCATTTGTTTATGGTCACTAAATAAAACACCATTATTGATAATATTAACAGTCTACCCTGCTGTAAGAGTTTGTGGAAAGGAATCAAAGGCTATACGTTCATACTGAAGACAAATGAGTATGGAGGACCTGGAGAGTCACTGAAAAAGAAAACATTTCAAATGTAAATTTTAAATCATGCAATTTGAGAAGCATTTTCTGATTTTACTTTTTAACTTTAATTTGAAAGAGGAATTACAATTTTGTATTTGTATTTTTGTATTCCATCATTAGATACTGGAATTCAAAAATGTATTTTCAAATCCATTTTTTCAAATCTTATTTATAAATGAAGATTTAAAAAGCAAAATTCATAAATCAGATTCAAAATAAATTTTCTAATCAGAAGTTTAAAAAGATAATTCCTTATTCCATTTTTCTTCAACTTTGATTTTTAAATCACTTTTCCCATTTTCTTTTTCCTTGTCCCTCTTCATTCACCTCTTCCATGACCCTTCTGGTCCCTGAGCAGACTGAAAACCAGTTAAACCAATCACAGTTGCTCCTCAGATATAACCAGCCCTCTTATTGGTTATTTTGTGAACCAGGTGTGTTAGTCTAACCAATAAGAGAGCTGGTTACATCTGAGGAGAAATTCACACTAGATGCATCTGATGGTTTTCAAGTCGTCCTTATTCGGAGCAGTTCTGTAGAATTTTTTTCTGACTCACTACCTCATTACCCAAAGCTACCGTACACATCCACTTAGACTTCTCTATAGATATAGCAGCTGCTCCACAACATTCCATAGTAAATAGTAATACTCTGTTTTTCTTACATTTCTTCATCTTCTTATAATGTTGTCATAATGTTGTTTGCTCCCGTTGCCTAACAGCATAATAATGAAAAAGAAATGGATTCTGGCATCCATTATAAGTTCTGTAAACAAGGTGTGCTGCTGTGTGCTGCTACATTCCTCTCCTGCGTATGTGAGCCAATCAGTCTGATGGCGGGTTGCATATAAACCATGCCAAATATTAAACAACCATGCCAAATATTAAATTGGAATCAAGACCATAGGTGTAAATGTAGCCAAAATAGAACAATCTAATAGCTTTCCAGGACTCATAGTTTATGATACATCCAACTTGGGACTTGGGATTAGCAAACCTGGCAAGCTATCGATCTCATGCAATGTAAGTTTGTGTATTTACTCAGTAGTTTTGGGCAGAAAAACAGCAATAAAGAGTTCTTGTGAAAAATAATATCCCATAAAATGAAGAAAAAACGGTTCTGGTTTGAGGCATATCAAGTTTCTGAAATCATCACCATCTAACAAGCTTTCCACCACTGAGGATTTCTATGAATACAATGAACATACAGCCTCTTTTCACATGTAAGGAAAGAATCAATTTCAGAAACCCTTAGAGAATTTCACCTAAAAAACCCCCATTAATTATCCCTTTAACATGACTAAGGGTATAATTCAATTCTTAAAGTATTAAACAATAGTAAATTGAATTAAATTGCTGCCAAAGTCCATTTTAGTCAGTTCTGCCAGTTATTTCTTACTCAGGAGAAGGACAAAACCAACATATGATTATCCTTTTTCCTGTCTAAATGTTTCTCAGTTACTACAAACAAAGCACACAAATCTAAGTACAGTTAGGCTGCATGGATATGTGTTCGTAAAGCTAACTCTGTTCCGTAGGTCTGAGTTGAGCCAAGATAATCTGACAGATCTGAGGAATGCATTGGCTGGTGTGGATTTACAGCTTTTCTTTTTTCTCTGAATGTCATTAGGAAACCAGAGTGCATTGATTGCATTACAGCTTCATTAGGGGTTATTTAGCTTTGGAAAGATATTTGGAACAGAGGAATGCTGCTCAGTGACAGGCAACACATAAATTATCATCATAGAGAAGTGTGATTATGAGGCTAATGTGGTGAAATAAATTCATAGAACATGTTGCTGCCTGAGCTGTGTGCTGCAAAATACCAGTGCAGAGGAAACAAGTAACAAAAAACCCCATCAAGAAGCCATCAGAAGTCCAGACAATAAGGTACTCCTCCCTGACAGAGGCTGTTTTCCTCTCACATGGGTTAGTTTTTTAATTATTTTTTTCTTATGGGTGTAAAGTTCACAGAAAAAAAAAAAAGGAGGTTGGTTTGGAAGACAGACTCCCCCGAGGGGGCTAGGCTGTTAACGTAAAGTCCTAGCGTTTTACGTCACTGCTTTATCAGGGCGCCTCGTCGATGCTGGTGCCCATGCGCTTCTGGATGGTCACCCTACGAATGGATGGCTTTGACGTCAGGTCCGGCTTTGGCGGAAACTGCTCCGTCAGAATCCGCAGGACTGAGTCCATTTTCCGGTCCATCTGGCGAATCTAAAACATTTCAATACAAAGACAGAATATGAACTGGTTATTTTAGTGCAAGATGAACATGCTAAACAAGTGGAGCCAGCGAGTTTGTGCTGCTGTAAAGTGGTGCCATCACAATGACAGGGTAGTGAGAGATATAATGACAAGTCTCACAGTTGGCGTCTTACCTGGTAAAGCCACTCATTACAAAGGCTGCTAAGGTATATGATGTATGAGTGGGTAGACAGACAGACACACACACGCCAGTCGCTGTTTACATGCTTTGTAAACTGTAAACACAGGTGTGTCACCAGGCAGACACATCTCTGAGAGTCTAACCATGGGGATGACTGCAGATAAAAGGCCCCACCCACCAGCTCAAGTAAACAGGTCCCAGACTGGCTGGGGACATGCAAATACACTGTGGTGGCGCAAAATCATTTAGGCTTTCGTATTGAAAATGTCTGAATCTTAACTAAGAAGAAAGAAATGCTGTCCTCTACCTTTTATTTTTGTTTCTTTTTTTGCAATGATGAAAATGTAAAATGATCAATATCATGACTTTGAGAGACAGTCTTACCTTTTAGGAGCTACCGGTTGTAGTTTATTCAAAAAAAGACTTGTTGCTAATTTGTGTATGGTAAAATTAAAGGAGAGCCAACTAGTCGGTCAGAGGCTGAAATCAAACAATCAATTCACAACTTTCATAATTTTTTTTCTGTAAATACTTTAAAAAGCAGTTAATATTTTAATGTAGTCTGTTTAATTTTTGAAAATAAGACTGTTCAAGAAGACATGAAAGTATCTGATGGCCAGAGAAGAGAGCGATTGTAGAATCTCTATATAAAATACTCAAAGCTAATAATAAAGGTTTTAAAATTAAACAAATGAATAAAAAATCAAGAATATTGTCTTGTTCCCTCATTAGCAGCTTCCTTACAGGTATTGTGGAGGATTTTTTAAAAGACCCGCCCAATTACAAAAATGATGCACGTGCAAGAGCATGCACAAGCCTATTTCTCCTTGCCAAAGCATTCTGGGATATATCTGCCTCTTCTGGGGCCTTTCTTTTCTTCTCATACACTTCGTAGACACTTACGACCCACGGCCATTTTCAAAAAACTGCAGTGAGAAAGGTGAGTTTCAATGACTGTCTGAAACCATAGTTTGCTACAGATATATGCTTGAAAGTGTGCATGCTCAGAAAAATATAGCTAATGGCATGGCCTTATGTAAACATATCACCATAATGATTTACAATCAGCAGGACCACTTATTTAGATGATCCAACCGGAAATAATAGATCGTCCTATATACCTTTAAAGACAAATTTGTGCAACTATGAGTTGACAAAAACCCCCTTCTAATCTTAGTTATAGTGGATGATGTCCTTTTTCCAGGTGGATCATGAAAATAAGTGGTTATTCTAATTGTCAATCATTCTGGTCATATGTTTCAGTAAGGCCGTCCTATGTGCTTGTCCCTATTTTCACTTAAGGGTGGTGAGTCCGACATAGTGGAAAAATTGCAACTCTTCTTTTGGAAAGTAAGCTTGTATGAGCGATGTAAACAGCAACTTTTAAACATAGCATGCACAAGGAGAAATGGGCTAGTGCACGCTCTTGCACGCTTTTAATAGAGGTTGCCTCTTGGGAGCGGGTACAGGGTGGTGCAAGTGGAACATCCTCCACTATACCTTTAAGTTGCAAAAGTAGGGCAATCTATTTAGGAGTATTGTTGAAGTAGGAGTTTAAAAAATTATGTTCAAAGCTGGTTGAAGTATGACGGTAAAAAAACACTTGCAGATGTGGTTCTACAAAGTACCGTCTCAAGAGAGACACATAAATGCACACAACATTTTAATGAATCGTGTTTGTAAAACTTTGAAAGTAAAACACATAAAATATAACGAGTTGAAATTAAATCTGTTTATTCCCAGAGTTGTTTTTCCTTTTTTGAAATAATGCTTTAAAAGTTCAATGTAAAATTAGATTTTCTGGAAATTTTCCCTCCATTAAAAAAACAAACAAACCCAAACACAACTCAAATGTTCCCCATAAAAAGCAGAAGTTTACAATAATGACCAACAAAAAGCCAACGCTGAACAGTCAGATACAGAAATAAATGCTCAACAAAAAACAAGCTTACATATTACATATGTGTCTAAGACTAGATACAACTAAAATAGGTGTTCACACACCTTAAACCACAAATAAAAGTGTCCAAACTTCCAGTCCACGCATGTTAACTTCAAAGGCCTGAAGAACAGTTTGGCCTCTGTACTCATCTGCTTATCCTCCAAGAAGTACTTACAGGTTTCTAACTAATAAGTGGCTGAAATGGATTCAAAACCCCAAGAAAATGATAAGAAAGCCTCTTTGTAAATCAAAGCCCAAAACATTAAAGCACATCAAAGAAGCGCAACATCTAACACACTGAGTTGAATGGACAGATTCAGACTCCTGTCTTTACTAAATGCAGATAACAGCCCTGGCCAAACAGCGTGCTTTCTGGCACTGCACGCTTGGATAGTTAACATCAATGGCATTTTCATAGGCTTTAGGGTATGGTTGTTCCTTCTCCTCATCTTTTACTGTGTGCGCCTGATGGCTCAGACGTTTTTATGGCAGAGGAGGACATTTAGCAGCTATTATCTCTGTTGAGGTATGAGCCATACTAAGGAGGACAGTATAAATCATAAATATTGGGGATTGTCACAAAAAAGAAATAAAGAGCATCATTTGTCCAGATCATAACTATGTACTTTCGCATTTAAGGGAACACGAAGCCACAAAACATGAGCAAAATGGTCCCAATAACTACTTGAAAACATGCTGCTAATATTTTTCGGTAAAATGTGGCCAAGAGCAGCTTCACTTTAAACTCTTTTCAGCTGAGCTTTACCAGTTTTTTCAGCTTCTACAGACCCTCCATCTAGAATGAACTGTAACCTAAATAGTTGTGTAAAGCAGACAAAGCATGCGCCAGCGCCGAGATGAAGTTTGGAGATAAATAAGAAATCATAAACATGTTGGGTATGAGTTATCAGCATTTTTACTGGGGCTTGAAATGGATCAGGAATTCCTGCCGCTGTGGGTCTGAATAGAGAAGCACAGGAGACCAAGAGCTGCGAAGAAAACAAAATTACACAATGGTGTTGCAAACACACGAGTTACTGATCAGTGGTGGGATTAAGATCTTTGGTGCAGGGTGATGAAATGCTAAAAGGAGTGAGGGTAAAAGGTTGTAAAAGTGTTTAAACATGTTTTTGGTGATTGTGTGGTTTATTATTAGAAAGGAGTGAAGCAAAAATAAATGAGAGGGTGGCAATTCTTTTTTCTTGGTTATTGATTTATTCAGATATTATCTGATTCCTCTTTCAAGGATGCAATGGACTCATTGGACCTGTAGAGTCTGCTTAATTTAGGGTTCCTACATACATAAGGGTAAGATTTTAGGCTTTTCCAGATTCATATTGACGAATTCATCAGTCAACAGTGGGTCGACCCCTAAATAGAAAGGTTTACCATTAAATTACCGTAGATTATACAACATTTCTCCGACTTTCAAGATAGAAATTAAAAAACTGCAGACTAAAAATGTACAGAGAGATCGATGGACATGATGCGTAAAAGTGAGAAGAGCAAAGAGGATCATTGGGGCTCCTCTTCCTTCCATAAAAGATATTTCATCCCAACGCTGCATGTCCTGAGTCCGTAACATTATAAATGATCCCTCACACCCCCAATACGGACTGTTCTCCCTGCTGCCCTCTGGGAAGCGAGGCATGAATTGCAGGTCAAGCAGATCCCAGAATAGTTTCTTCCCCACTGCCATTAGACTGCTGAATGATGTATAAAATTGGGTTAAAAAAAAACCCAACAAAACCATGTTGGAAAACTGTAACTCATATGTTACAGTTGTGTATATATGTATATTTATGTTTACATTTATCACTGCTGTAAATAAAAAATTGAAAATGTCCTGAGAGCTGTACTAAACAAAATTTAGTTTTATATACGCTCTGTGTGTACAAAATGACAATAAAGACAATAAAGTCTAAGTAAAAAATATTATGGGTCATTTAGACTCAACTGATTCTTGAGAAGACGGGTGAATGTGGAATTTACTCTGGAAATACAAATATTTGTCCATATTATCAATATGTTCTTTTCCACAACAAATCCAGACCTAGAAGTACCTGTAAAATAAAATGTTCCCAGACCTTTTTATGACAGTAAAGGAAACTTTTTAGTTATACTACATGTTTAACTATGACTGCTGTTCCTCTTTGCTGAAACACTTTCCTCCTGAGACTGTCATACAGAACTCCCTTATCTCTATTTGTGTAACTTCTCATTTTACTGTTCAGCCTTTCTTTGCACTTTGTACAGTTTATGATAAGGCTTTTTAAGTCCAGACACTGAACATAAAACCAATGGTTTAAACTAATTTACAGCCCTCTCCACATTTACTGGCATAAAGATGCAGCAGAAGCCTTAAATAAACACTTTTTTACTACATCATTATGACACACTGGCTCTTTGCTATAGGTCCCTATATCAGTAGATATCAGGCTTTTTTTTTTTTTTTTTACTTCCCATACCAGCCTGCTCTTTGAATGTGAAAAAATGGTTCCTTGTTTGTCACATTTCATGTTGCTTTAATCAAATGGATAGTCTGAATGTAGATATGGACAACTTAAGGAGAGCAGCTTTTTAAAAACATTTTTCTACAATTTTTCATTTGTTTCTGTATTTCGTTAATCAAAATTAACATGTTAAAGCCCCAGCCCTAGTATTTGCCAATTGATATTGGTGTATGAACAGATACTTGTTTCAAGAAGAGTGAGAAAACAAAGAATATAAGCACAAATTGTAAAATATTAAGTTCTGTTGCATCTTTAAAATAACAACAAATCTTATTTGCATTAGGATTTACAAAAAAAAAAACTACGGTAACATTATTTTGTGTTAAACGGGGTAGATTGCTTTTTCCGTGATGACACATTAAGCTTTCCTTCT